ATATATATAACCAGATTTCTAGAAAGTTCAACTGGAATGTAAATAATGCAGTGTAGTCTTTATTTATAATCAATTTTATATGCTTAGATAAAAATGCACATATAAGCGCATTATTTAAAGAAAATTCCATTAAAAAAATCCAACTAAGTTGGGAGCCATTACTTACAAATTTGTTTCTCTACAAAGGGTGGTTTTCCAAACACATGTGAGTTCCTGGTTTTTGTCACAGATTAGACTTGATATAAGCTCTTTTGGATTACATTACACACAGTTCAGAAGAAGTTGGGATAAGTTGTTTCATGTAAAATACAGACATGGAGGGAAAAGGGAGGTGTTGACTATTTTGCCAATTTCTCCTCAGGCCTCATGATCTCCAGGTCCAGTAAAGACTGTCTAGATCATAAATTGGCAAACGACAACCAGTGCATCATCTCTAGTCCACTGCCTGTTTTTATAAATAATGTTTTTATTGGAATACAACCACCCTTGTTGAAGAATTGTCTATGGTTGCTTCTGTGCTCCAAAAGCAGAGTTGAGTACCCATAGCTGCAAAACTCTGGCCTGCAAAGCCAAAAATATGTACTATCTGGTCCTTTCTTAGCCTATTTTTGTGTTGCTATAAAGGAATACCTGAGGCTGAGTAATACATAAGGAAAAGAGTTTTAGATGGCTCACGATTCTGCTGGCTGGAAGACAGGACATCTGGTGAAGGCCTGTCTTCTTCCACTCATGGCAGAAGGTGAACCGGAGCCATGTGTGCAGAGATCACATGGTGAAAAGGCAAACAAGAGAGGCAGGAGAGAGAGGAGCTCTTACTAGCATCCAATGCTCCTGGAAACTGATGGAGCTCATGCACTCCGGTCCCCACATTAATCTATTCAGAAGGATCTGCCCTATGACCTAAACACCTCTCATTAGGTCCCTCCTTCAACACTGAGGAACAAATTTCAACATAAGGTTGGAGGGGTTAAATATCCAAATCATAGCAGGTCCTTTACAAAAAAGAAAAATACTTATTCCTGGTCTAGTTCATCATTGTTCGATACAAGTGGAATGCAAATCACATTTGTAATTTTAAATTGCCTAATAGATACATTAAAAAAAGGAAAAAGAAATGGGTGAGATTAATTTTAGTAATACATTTCATTTAATCCTATATATCCAAAATAGAATTTAACATGTAGTACTAACCACATTTCAAATACTCAGTAGCTACAAATGTTTAATGCCTACCATTTTAGACAGTGAAGCTCTAGAAAAGCAAACCAGAAGGAGCTGCTGGGAGACCCATTCTACAGAAAATACAATTTTAAAGAAAAGACATTTCCAGGATACTACAATAGGCCCCAAATAATAATCCACATTACCCTTTTTCATTTCACAGACAAGAAATGCAGAAAAAGAATTTAAAAGCAGCTAACCAACGAACAAACAAAATAGGTTTCTTTCCCTTAAAATACGATGAAGCTACAAAGATTTCTGCAATTACAGATGATTTTAGGATGGTTGTTTATTCTCTACTTTGATGCTAAATTCCTTCCATTGCAATTTAAACAGGTTCTATCTTGTCTTATCCTTAGATAAATCTAAGAAAAGCAGTCCCCCATCACTAATATGATATTGTATTCCTTTAAATCCTTTATGACTCTGGCCTTCCTTTCCTATGCCAGAGATATTCTTTGTCTAGCAGCACAAATTCAACTCCTCTAGCATTTCAAATTGGAATTATTTTCAAAATGTTTTGTTGTATTTGTTTTTCTCTTTTAAACTTTTCTCCAGATCTATATGTACTTGCTTCAAATGCAACAAGAAAAAATAAATACAGCATTCTAATAAAGTCCAAATGTTGCCAAACACAAAAATCTCCGCTGCTAGTCTTCTGTTTAAACAGTTCATTCTACTGTTGGAGAATATTTCACCTGTGTCTTACTAAAATCCACAAACAAAAACAATCCTGAAATACAAAGTAACCTTTAACAGTTTTAAATTTCACAGGCATACTGTCCCTCATTTTCCCCACATATACAATGAGCATGATTCAAATTTGGTTTCTTAAAATTAATTTTTTTCTTATGAAAACTCATGAAGCATTTTACCATATCAGTAACAAGGAGAATGGGGAACGTATCAGCACCCATAAAAGGTCATGTTTATCAAATTTGTAAATTAAAGAAGACTAAGATACAGTAACCTTGGCAGGTACGGTGGCTCACATCTCTCAGCCCAGAGACTCAGGAGGCTGAAGCAGGAGGATTGCCTGAGGCAAGGAGCTTGAGACCAGCCTGGGCAACAAAATGAGATCTTGCCTTTAAACGAAAAACTTTTTAAATTTAGACAGGTATGGTGTTGTGCACCTGTAGTCCCAACTACTTGGAAGGCTGAGCCGAGAGAATTGCTTGAGCCCAGGAGTTCAAAGCTGTAGTGGGCTGTGATCATGCCACTGCACTGTGATTGTGCTGGAGTACAGTGGCACGATCTCTAAAAATAAGACCCTGCCTCTAAAAATAAATAAATAAATAAATAAATAAATAAATAAAACAATCTCAACAGCCTAACTCTATCAGGATGAAATGCTAAGAGAAAAAGTGTATAGCAGACCATGAAGATATCCAGTACATAATTTAAAAAGATACAACTTAGGAGAAGCATAAAAAATATTGTTCTAATTAGCACTAAATTTAATAATAAGAGAAGTATAATATATAGGACAAAAAAGGTGATAGTCCTGTCCAGTTGAGTTTATCTCCGAATGTAAAGAATGAAAGTTTGAAATTGTAGTCATCTAAGGTAAGGGGCAAAAGCAAGAAAATAAAGTTGAAATCAGCCTGTAAGTAGGAAAACAAGATTCTGGCATTTTATTGCTTCTTGAAGTCAACGAAGAAACAAAATTACATAAAGAAAATGAAATCTATATATATTATTACCAGTACCTAAAGAGTAACTATGAAGCTCTTCAAGAGAGTGAAATACATAGCAGTCAGTTTACCTTCTGGGAGTTAAACTAGTAAAAATGACACCTGATGAATGAGATTTGCTCCTGTAGACCCTAGACATCTTAAAGGCATAGGTCAAGAGATATCCCCCAGTTCTCACCTACTACTCTAGCATATAATTTCCACTATAAGATGCTAACTCTGTTATGAATGGTGAGCAACAAAGACACACCAAGATGGGAATGCTTGGCAGCTGGCTCAGCTCACTCACTGGGCTTTATTCACTACAGCCTTATGATACCTAAGACTGTCAGTGTGATTCAATTTCCCACCTTATGTTCAGCTGTGAATGTTGAAATTTCAAAGCATCTCTATAACTGTCCTTAGAAAAATGACCTTTTCAAGTTAAGAATAGGAAAAATAGGTTTCAAAAACCTAAAGACAATGGATTAAATGAGAAAAGAAAAAAAGCCGTCACCTAATCACCAGCTTCAATATCTGAAGGAGGAAAATACAAACAAAAGCAGGCGTTCTAAATGGAGTCTTAAAAAGAAAAATCCAAAATTCAGAAATTTTTCCGTGCATTATCAGCCTTGACCAAGGGAGATGGTACTCTGCTGGGCTGAGAGCATTGGTTACATTCTACTGTCAGAGCTCAATGAATGAATATTCTCTGGGCTCTGACTCCATGCCCATGAAGAAACTCTGTGTTACAATTTCCCCTGGCCTCAGCTTTGCTACAGTGAGAATGTACCAAGCAACAACCAGAACGCCAATTAAAGAATTGTCATTCTAGTTTATATATTCATTTTTGTAGGTATTTAGTTAGTGTGACTGAGTTCTCACAAGGTTGACAAATCCTAGACTCACTTATAAAAATCTAAACCAGGCCTCTAAACCTAAAAAGCTAAAGATTACATGCTAGCACCCCTGCCCCCAACTCTGCTGCTTTGAAGCATGGCTTTAATGGCCCATTGGCCTTTCTTGATGATGACATATTCCTTTGCCTAACTATATACATACACATGAGATAAAATAAGGTCTTATTCTATGTCCTTATTAATAGTATATTACCAGTCTTCATAATACCATTAAAATAACAGAAAAGATGAACAATATGTAATTAAGAATCAGCAAAACCTTGATTTAGCAATCCCACTTTGAAAAATATATCCTTTAAATAATCTGCATGAAAAAAGCTTTAGTTTCATAGATGTGTTATTTAAAAAGTGAAACATAAAAACCAAGCCATGTATCAAGCCATAGAGAAACGATCTATACCAGCAATGATAGAAACACCACATAGAGCACAATGCAGCCATTAATAACAAAAATTACATATTAATACCATGAAAATATGTTTACATGAAAAAATACATTTGATATGTGCATATAAATGGCATAGTTACAACAGTATGTTGAGGGCATAATTTGGAGGTGAAAATATAAAAAGATGGAAAATAATCCCTTACAGAAATCAGATTAAATTACTATATCATATTTACACATAAAAAACAATAAAGCTAGCCAAATTTCTGCTAAGCTGGTTGGCTTGGTTTATGAGAATAAATGCCAACTCCATCACTGTGTATTCACTGAGGCTTAGAATCCTAGAGAGTTACTGATCCTACTGATACTGGGTATATCAAAATAATTATCCATACTGTGATCAGTTTTTCTGATTTTTTTTTTGTTTATTTTCAATCAGCATTTTTAAGAGGTCAGATACTCTTAACCGAAAAATAAAAATAGATCCAAACTACAGAATATAAATGTTTTCCCTTCCTTATGGAAAACGACCTAGGATTCAAGGGTTAATATAAAATGGACTCAATTTTGACAAGCCAGAATCTATTTTGTCAAAAATAATGCCATAATAAGTATAATAGTCACTCAAAAAGTTACACTGATTCACCCAAGATTACTTGGTAGATGCAGCAGTCTCTTAGTTCTTGTTTTTGTGCTGATACTTAAGTGCCATGTATTTTTAAACGCATCTAACTTCTTATTCAGTTCATAATGTTCTTTGTGAATATCAGCTTGATTTGAACTTACCTTACATGAAGACTCCACTTGCAGACTAGGGCAAGGTAATGGCCCAAGCTGGTAGGGGCTGGAGGATCTCTGTTCTATACTTTTGTGCTTAAGTGTCTCTGAGGCAATGGGAAATACAGACTTCACAAGCTGTGAATCATCACAACAATTAAGAATAATTCGTGCTCTTTCTCCTGTCTCATGTCTTTCCAAAGTGCCTGGAAAACAAGAAGTAAAAATGTCAGCAAAATATTTACCCCAACAGAATAAGACAGAACAAAACACTCTTTAACAGAAGAATCACAGTCCTTTAAGTTATCGTGCCTTAGTATCTTGCAACCGAAAAATAGCCTGGGAGCTTTTTCTAAATTATTCAAAACACTTGCTCATAAAGGCTGAACTTATGGATTTGAAAAGCTCATCTTCCTCTTTGTGCTTCTTTATCCACTGAAATCAACAGGAGATTCAATAGTCTTTAATAGTAAAATCTCTAACTTATTATACAGTATGCAAGTGATCAATAACACATAACTATGGAATATTTTAGTGCTGTCCCCTAGTGTTCCAACTCACAAGCAACAGAGAACCCACAGTGCTTTGCTTGGGTTCCTAGGCTTGAAATGTTTCTATTGGTAACATATAATTTAAATGAATGGAGCAAGTAAGAACACGGATGCTTTGTGTACTGCCTCCTCAACCAAGTGTCCCCGCAGGGCTTTGTTGTTTTATTGTTGGGATTGTTGTGATTATATCCTTTGGCTTTTATTTCTTACGTTATTAGAAGGGGAAAAAAAATCCTTTGCCTCTGTCATTCTTCCAGTTTCAGAATTTAGGAGTGCTGTCAAGTTCAATTTAAAGTTAAAAAAAAAGTATAAAATAGACCAAAAGTATCAGAAACCAATTCACAAATAGTTCAATGTTTTTATAAAATACAATGCCATACACTCAGTGAAATATCAATAAATATGAATTAATCATGTTCTCTGTCTCTTATGAGTTCATTTGCATTATTCATACTATATTAAATATATAGGTTATTTCCTACTGAATAAAGACACCAATGAATACTAATTTAATAAACAATACCTAAATATAGACTTTATTTCATATTCTTTCCTACCAGTGAGAAAGAAATAGATGTACTATTTATATTGTTAAGAAAATATCAAATTAATTACAATAAGAAAATAGAAATAATAATTGTAGGCCACTATGTCTTTAGATAAAAAGATTGGCAGATATATTTGAAGATTATGATGATTCTATCCTTTCTCATTTCTCTCCCACTCTTCTATAGCCTTCTTTTATTACAACTAGACTACCATTAGCTGGCACCATGGATTCTGAACCAGTAACAGTTACTTTGCTCAAATAACAGGCAGAACTTCAGTCTCGAATCCCTTAACAATATAATTTTATTGTAACATTTCTACATTCATAAATAAACATCCTTATCATACAAACTTATAAACATGTTATTCTTCTAAGCTTTCCTTTTCCATCAAGATTGATATATCTGGCCGGGTGTGATGGCTCAGGCCTGTAATCCCAGCACTTTTGGAGCCCGAGGTGGGCAGATTGCCTGAGTCCAGGAGTTTGAAACCAGCCTGGGCAAGATGGCAAAACCCCATCTCTACAAAAAATAAAAAAATTAGCCAGGCAGGGTGGCGAGCACCTACAGTCCCAGCTACTAGACAGGGCTAAGGCAGGAGGATCTCTTGAGCCCAGAAGGTTGAGGCTACAGTGAGCCAGAATCATGCCACTGCACTCCAGCCTGGGTGACAGAACGAGACTGTCTTAAAAAAGAATAAACACAAAGTCTGTCACAATGGTATGCAACAGCTAGATATTCTGGGACTTTAAGTTTTATAAATTAGGAAAAAATATTGATCTATTTTCTGAAGGATACACTTCAGGGAGAAAAAATTATTTATAGATCAACAAATGAAGCTGACAGCAACATCAAGAAAACCCTTCCTCTCAAGACTGACGATAAGAAAAGCTTCAGAAACCAAAGATAAGAGTTATTACTGCTTCCTGAAAACTACCGCATTCCAGAACTTGGAACCGTGTTACGTGGTAAAATTTACTGTCTTTCTGAGAAGTCTCTCTTTGAAAATGGTATCATCCTGAATATTTTCTTCTTACAAGTTCTCTGTGGCTCCTCAAGCTATGATATTTTTTACATATTTTAGGAATGATTGGGAAAGAACTTATTGCACTTTAATACATTTGTTATGTGCCTTATGCAAAATGTATACATTCTATATATCCATGTTTTATTGTATACCTGATGTCTGACCCAAACACAACTATTTCTTGTATTTTTTTAATGATGAGAATAGTTTATCTACAAATTTAGGTAGTTGTAATCCATTTTCATTTGTGCAGATAATTAATCTGTCTGAGTATTTACTATGCTACCATGTACCATCCATCATGCCAGATGATGACAATGTATAGTATATAAGAATGACTCAGTCCAGGTCCCTGAGAGCTTCCTTAAAACCTAATGGTAGTACAGATGCAAGAAACATCTGAAAACTGATAAGCTGCAATATTTAAAGTAACACCTAAGCTATTTCTACCCAAAACTAAAAATCTCCCCTTCTAAAAATGTTAGACATTTGGTTTTGTGTACAAGAGTTTCTGTCAAGATTAGTTATAAAATAGTAGAAAAATAATGAATATTTTGTTTCAAAGAACTGATTAAGACATACACATGACATAAGGAGTGGTTAGAGTCAATCAATTTCTGTAAAAGATATAGACAGACAAGTAAACTACATGTTCAAAGCAGTAATTTAATTTTGCAATAGGTTCACGATGGCAGCTTTTGAAAGACCTTGGTCAAAATTCTGACAGTGGGTGGGCATTCCCACATGTGCTAGTTATCAATTTATTGCCTCAGATTCAAATTCAGCCTTCACTGCCTGCTTTGTGAAAATGAATATGGGCTTGATAAATATTTTCTCGTTTATCAGCTGGTGAAATATTAACCTTTGGGGACAGAGGGTGCTGGAAAGACCAAGTAGAAGAAAGGGTTAAGGCCAGGTGTGATGGCTCATCCCATCCTAACTATAATCTCAGCACTTTGGGAGGGTGAGGCAGGTGGATCACAGGAGTTCAAGATGAGCCTGGGCAACATGGAGAAACCCTGTCTTTACAAAAAATACAAAAATTAGCCGGGCATGGTGGCATGTGCCTGTAGTCACAGCTACTTGGGGGGCTGAGGTGACAGGATCACTTGAGCCAGAAAGTTGAGGCTGCAGTGAGCTGTGACCATACCACTGTATTATAGCCTTGGTGACAAGGTCAGACCGTGTCTCAAAAAAAAAATAAAAAATAAAAAGAGGAAGAAGCAGGAGGAGGAGAAGAAGGAGGAAGAGGAGGAGGAGGAGGAGGAGGAGGAGGAAAGGAGGAGGAGCAAGAAAGAAGAAGGGAAAGAAGAAGGGGCAGGGGGAGGGGAAGGGGAGGAAGAAAGGGCTTTTTATTCTTGGTTCTGGTGTACTTTTCTTGGAGTAGTGTTAGCGGCTTCTCCAGTAAAGGTGTCTGTACTACATGACAGCTGGCCCAGCAGCACTTTGCATCCAAACACTTTCTTTGGCATACTCTTTGGGCAGTTTTGTAACAGCGCCTCCAGCAAGACATCTCGCTGTGGACAGTTTTCTCTGGCACCCTTGAGGGAATATTTCTAGAAAGTTCCACCAGAACTATACCATAGCAGCGTCTTTGCCATTCAATACATATAACCATACCCTCTCTAGCAAGGTCAGGAACTTAGCCCTGGAGGGTGGAAAGGGGGGTCTTTCTTGGTTTCTTGATCAAGCTAGCACAAGTTCTAAGGCTAGGAGTCATCCTTCACATCTGCTATTCCTATATTCTTTAGAGTTCTCTTCTTACTAGTCAATCTCTCATATTCAAATTCTTTATGCTAGTTAATAATTCTTTATACTAAATTTTCTGTCTAAGTTACTGCATCATTTTTCTTTCCTGATTAGACCCTGATTAATACACTACGATACATCACTTATGATGCAGAATGTTTCCTTAAATATGTCTCCAAAGTTATGAACTTTATACCACTTCAGAGATATACTTAAACTATTAGAGAACATATATAGCAAAAAAAAAAAAAAAAAAAAAGGAGGCATGACCACAAGGAAGATTTCCAACAAGCGATGCTTTTCCAACTCTAATATACTGCCTTGGGCAAGATACAGAATAGCTACTATTTCCAGATATTAAAGAAATGTAAGAAACCGAAGATTCACAAAATTGCTTAATTCAGCTTCCAGTTTCAGGAGAACTTTTCTTTCCAAAGTAAACTCACTGATAATTAGAATTTTATTTCATTATAGTACATCAAGAATAGGAGTTAATTCATATTTATTATTCATTTGAATCAATCTGAACATGACAAGGAAAGGTGTAGAGACATAGGTGAGTTAAGTAGTACTGAAAGTTACACTACATCTCCTCCTTCAAAGTAGGTGTGCAAAAATATTCCATAAAATCTATTGTAAGTAAAATCTTTATCGTATAAAATGCTTTCCAATAAATATTTTGTATTTTTCTATTACTTATTTAATATGATTTTTATATAATTTGTTTTAATCTTAAACTGTGTAATAGTGCATTAGAGAGCAGAGCTAATCATAAGAAAAGATAGCTTAAAGCAATTAACATCTTGATAAGAAATGAAGGAAAGATCAGTTTCCAAAGTTGCATAGTTTCCGAAAAGTCAGTGCACAGAAATATAAGAAACAGCCAAGATAATCTCTGCAGATCGCTAGACCTGTAGTGACAGGATTTTCACTTGTACACACTGCTTTCCCTGTCAATTCAACATATCCCACAGCGTACTTAATCAACTACGTTTAAAACCAGAGCCTTCTCTATGACCCCATGCACAACCCTGCCCATGTTCTTCCTATCTGTCCAGGCAGACAACAAGGACACATCATCACAGCATGGTGTTTAGGAGCAGACTCTGGCAACAGACTGTCCTGTAGTTAAATCCTTGTTTTACCTTTGATGGCTGTGTGGCCTTCAGCAAGTTACTTTACATCTCTGTGCCTCAATATCTTCATCTGTACAATGGGGATAATGATAATCCCTACCTCATGGAGTTACTTGAGGATTAAATTGAGTAGATATAAGAAATGCTTAGAGGTTTCAGCACACAGTGAATGCTGTGCTATATGACAGCCCTCTC